AAGACCAGCATCTGCAAGATTCTAGGGTGAGCTTTTAAAATGATGTGATGGTCACATTGATTTTTGACTTACATTCAGTGCTTCCCCTGCTGTCTGCAATATAAAGTTCAGATCTCTCACTTTGTGATAGGACAAGCTCCTTTCACATCCTGGCTCTCCTCTAGCTTTCTAGATGTGTTTCCAGCTACTCCCTTTCAGATGCCTTTAGTCAAATAAGTTAGACCCAGTTTCTCATGTATTTTTGGATTTCTATGCCATTTTACATACTATTTCTATCTGGGGTCCTCTTAATTTTTTTTCTGTATCTGGAAAACTCTTCTGAATGATGCTTCCTCTCTGAGGCCTTCCGTGACGATTCTTGCCGCTTGTTCCTCCAGGCAGAAGTACCTGATCTTCATCTGCGGCTCTCAGCACTTGGTCTGTCAGTCGTCCCTCGGGATCCATGGGGGTTGGTTCCAGGAGCACCCACAGATACGGAAACCCAAGGATGCTCAAGTCCCTGAAATAAAACTTGAGTTTTATAGTGTTTGCATATAACCTATGTGCATCCTCCCATATACTCTAAGTCATCTCTAGAGTACTTGTAATACCTAACACAATGCCTACACACACGTCCTTCGCAAGGATTCAGTGTAGTACTCAGCACATGGTGAATTCAAGTTTTACTTTTTGGAACTTTGTGGAACTTTTTCTCTGAATAATTTCCATCGGCAGTTGGTTGAACCGACAGACATGGAGGGCCGACCATACTTCATTGCTGCACTCATTACATAGCATTGTGATGATTTGCTTGCATATTTGTCTCCATCTATATACAGTTAGGTCATTGAAATAAAGGTAATCTTTTATTAGTAGTTATGCAGTAACAGTGATGCTTTCCCTTTAATTAAGAAGTACCAAATTCTTGCCAAGTCTTTTAAAAACCATCTCTACTGACCTCCAGATACTTTCTACCTATATCATCATCTGCTTCTATCCCATCGAAAAAATGGTATATCTTATTAACAAAGAAGGAACCTCCCACATTTCTGGAGCATGTGATAGATGGTGGCCATTTCGGTATCATGAAACTCAATAGTGCCTATACCTTGCTGAGATCTGTACCAAAGGAAGATACAGATACAGAACATCTGGTGCTCAAGGTACTCAACTGGTTTAAAATGTTAAAAATCAGCAAAACCAATCTAATAAGTTGTGCCAATTCTGTTTTTTTAAGTTTCTATAATTTGTAGCATTAATGTCTGCTTTACACCTGGAAATACTCTTTTCAGTTATGTCTTACAAGAACAATGAAGGTTTTGTATGTTTGTTTGAGCCAGAAGTCATTTTTAGTGTATTACTTTTTTTTGGGTGGGGAGATAGGATCTTGCTCTGTCGCCCAAGCTGGAGTGCAGTGGTGCAATCATAGTCAATGCAGCCTTAACCTCCTAGGCTCAAATGATCCTCCCACCTCTGCCTCCTGAGTAGCTAGGACTACAGCACGTGCCACCATGCCAGACTGATTTTTATTTTTTATTTTTTGAGACAGGATCTCACTCTGTCACCCAGCCTGTAGTGCAGCGGCACAATCTCAGTTTCACTGAAACCTCAACCTCTCTGGGCTCAGGTGATCCTCCCACCTCAGCCTCCTGAGTAACTGGGACTGCGAGCGTGCACCACCACACCCAGCTAATTTTTGTATTTTTTTTGTAGAGACAGGGTTTTGCTATGTTGCCCAGGCTGGTCTCGAATTCCTGGTCTCAAGCCATCCACCTGCCTTGGCCTCCCAAAGTGCTAGTTTTACAGACGTGAGCTACTGCGCCCAGCCAGCAGGCTAATTTTTATTTTATTTTATTTTATTTTATTTTAGTATTTATTTTTGAGATGGAGTCTTGCTCTGTCACCCAGGCTAGAGTGCAGTGGCATGATCTCGGCTCACTGCAACCTCCGCCTCTCGGGTTCAAGTGATTCTCCTGCCTCCACCTCCCAAGTAGCTGGAATTACAGGCACCCGCCACCACACCCAGCTATTTTTTATATTTTTAGTAGAGACAGGGTTTCAACATTTTGTCCAGGCTGATCTTGAACTTCCAACCTTGTGATCTACCCACCTCGGCCTCCCAGAGTGCTGGGATTACAGGCATGAGCCGCTGCGCCTGGCCAGCAGGCTAATTTTTTTTTTTTTTTTTTTTCTTTTGTGGAGACAGAGACTCACTGTGTTCCCCAGGCCATGTTATGCCTTCTAAGAATGCATCTGAGCTGTTGGCTTTCATGGTGAATTGTGGCTCTAGTGGAGGTTCTATAGTAAAGACCTCATTTAAGTTTGCAAGTGCTTCTTTCATTTTAAACTGCAGACATATGCCTGTCTTTCTAGCAAAGCACGTTAGGAGTTCAGAAAGGCTGTGACATTTGGGAGTCAGTTACGATTAATTTATAGTTTATAATATAACCATTACTGTCTGGTTTTGAATATTAGAGAAGAAGCTTTGAAATTTGTGCTATAATAGTTGAACATGATATATACCAAGAGATATTGGTGATTATAAAGATGTTTGTGGTATCAGAACAAATTGTTACAAATCATGAAATTTTATTGCATGGATTTATGTTTTAGGAATTATAATTTTTTATTCTCATTTTTCCTCTGAGAATACCAAAAAGGAAATTGAATGCAGTGATATCTTTAATATTGAAATATAGCAGGTGGCCGGGAATGGTGGCTCACATCTGTAATCCTAGCACTTTGGGAGGTTGAGGTGGGAAGATCACTTGAACCCAGGAGTTCAAAACCAGCCTAGGCAACATAGTGAGACCTTGTCTCTATTATTTATTGAAAATTTAAAAAATATATATAGGAGGTAACTATATTAGTTCTGAAAGCAACGTGAGAATGTCTTTATCTTCTTTTGGAAATAGATTGCTAATAATACATTAAAGAAAAGCCTATTCTCTTTCCAGGACCAGAAAGCTGTTGTGCTGGGTTTGGTTCTTTCATAGGGATTGTCTCCTTGTTTCAGTTGGGCAATTGATATAAAAGAACCAGAGGCAAAAATATAAATATAGGACTAAATGTAAGCCAATCTCTGTGTTCACTTCCATCATTAGTCAACCTAAAACAACCAATTAATTGACTATAACTCAGCACAGCCACTAGCATTAATAGTCTTGAAAGTTTGGGACCTAAGTGGATATCTGTCTGAAGACAGGTAGTCAGATAAATAACTAGAAATTGACTTCTATCCTAGAGAGGCGCATTTCAATTCTCAATGTCTTACTTAGACGCCTGTCACAAAGGGAGGAATGTAGAACAATAAGCATAGTACTATGGCTTAAAAATCAAGAGACCAAAATATGTTCCTTGCAAATTACTTTCCATCTTGGATCCTCTCCATTAAATGGAAAAATCATTTTTAAAAATACCTACACAGAAATGCAGTTGGTTTAAGAAGAAAAAAAAAAATGCATAGAGATGGATGGAGAGAGGAAGAGATCCTTCTTTAACGTCTGGGTTCCTTGGCTTTCCCTGAAAGATTTCCCCTTGAGCTTTTATTTGAATGTACTACGAAACCTGCAAAACAATAAAGACTGTGGTCCCTTAATAGTCACTAAGAATTGCTAAGTATAACCTCTCCAAAAACGTTATACATAATTGACTCTGTCCTTAAACGAAAGGAGAAACCAGAAGGTAGTTAGTTCCCAAGCACCTAAATATGAGAGAAGGACTTTCGGCTTCAGTTTTATGCTTTTGATGGACAAATCTGAGAAGTATAATCATGCATAACTTAACAGTGGGGGATGCATTCTGAGAAATGCTTTGTTAGACAATTTTGTGTTGTGTTAACATCAGAGAGTGTACTTACACAAACCAAGGTGGTTTCGCCTGCTGCATACCTAGGCCGTGTGGTGTAGCCTAGGTTTGCAGCAGGCACAACCATCAAGGTATGTGTAAGTACACTCTGTGTATGTATGTAGCCTCCTAGGCTACAAACCTGTACTGGAGGCAACTGTTACACAGAGGTATTTATATATCTAAACATAGAAAAGGTACAGTAAAAATACAATATTGTAACCTATTATAAAAATATATGTGGTTTGTCATTGACCTAAACATCATTGTGCAGCACATGACTGTACTTCTTCCAGTTTAAAAGAGGAAGTGAGAAATTTTCCAGGAGAAGTATTTAGCAATAGTCATTTGATTCCAGATGCAAGACAGAACCCTTTTGTAGCTGAACCTAGTAGGGAGGGAGAGGGGTTGAAGAATGGCTGGAAGGCAAGATACCTGGCACCTTTTTGAGAAGCTTGAATTCATTCCTTCAGGACTTTCACAAGAAGGAGAAATGGACAGACCTGAGTCCAGAAAACCTGCACCTAAAGACGAGTTATCAAAAATGCTAACCTTCAAGTTTAAGTTTGGATTAGGGGTTATAAAAGACAACATTCTAATTAGGGTATAGGTGTAAAATTTGGATTTGTTGTTAAGATTCTAGTAGAGAATTAATCAAAGTTTGTTCCAGAGTCTTATTTTTGAATGTGGTATGTAACAGTTTGTTTTGGTTAAAAGTTTACAAACTAAGTCTGAGGGAAACCAGTGAGCTCTAACCAAATCTCAGGAACAGCATGCACCTCGATGTTACGACCTTTGTAATATATGATGAATGCCAGACACCTAGTAATGTTGTACCTAAAATGTAGAGAAATTCACCAAGGGGCAGAATTTAAATTCTTATGTACTAAAACTACAAAGCAAAAGCCACCGAAGTTATGTCCTGTGGTAGTGTGTTTATGATCAGTTGCTTCTCCTGGTACCCACAGCTCAGTGGCCCTGTGGCTTTGTGAGAGAGAACCTCTTGCTGAATTTACTTAGGCTTGAAGTATCGATTTCTGCCGCACTCCGCCTGGGTCCCGCTGTGCTTACCGCGAACGATCGTTGGTCCCTTTGCTCTTATCATGCCTATTGTCGTTTCCCTTGTTTTCCCTAGTTGGTAATTATTAATATAAGGCAAATGTCTTTTCTTTCAGTCCTCCTCGCCCTCTGACTAATATGAATGACACCGTGGTTAGCCACATGTCCTCTGGAGTGCCCACTCCCACCAAGAGGTACGTATGTCTTGTGCCTTCGACTTGAGTGTTGGCCTTTGCTACTGATTTGCAGTGCCCCTGTCAGAAATGAGGCCTGAAAAAGCAGGTTGTTCCACCAGGCAGAAAGGACTGGTTTGCTTTCTCTTCCTTTGGCCGTCTTTTAGTCTTAATTTCTACTTTTTATTTTGCTTTTTTTCCCCCCACTGACTCACAAATACAGCAACTGAAGATTGGCTTTCAGTGGTGCCTCAGGTGGAAACTTCATTTGTGACAAGCAGTGGTGACAGTGTCAGAGCAGATTAGGCACGTTTCAGATCCGTTTTTTAACCTGAAACAATGTTTTGATAGTCATGAGTTTCAACAGTTTTGCCTTTGAATTATTTGAGTGTCAAAGATCATTTTTGCTCTTTGATTAGATGGTGTAAATTGAATTAATCCCTTATAAGATTTTCTCCTAAATCGTTCTGTATATGATTTATAAACATTTAAGTTGAAAAGCCCTAGTGTCTCTCTTTTGGTTATGCAAGGAGTTTGCTTTAGGGGCCTTCAAGGAATGAGAACTGTGTACTTCTTTCTCCTCTTTATTTAACTTGCTCTTCTCCAAAAATTCTCTCAGGCAGGACTTGAAAGAACTATATAAAGTGGCTTTCTATTTGGTATACACTGTTCCCTGACCAGAGCAATGCAAAAACTCCCTCAAGGGCACGGCCATTAAAGAATTCTTTCTAACAGTCATCACTCAAAAACAAGAAAACCACAAAGACATTCCAGCCCACCCCCTAGTCCTTCCTGGAAAAAAAACCATTTTGTGCCATATGTACCGATTGCTTTGGATTAATTCAGCTATGGAAACGCTATAGAAATTTTGACTATGTAATACATAGTGCTTAAGACAATGATGTTTGTTCCCATTGGCTGAAACTCCTAGGACAATGTTTCTCAAACCTGACTGATGAGAAGAATCACCTGGGTCACTTGTTGAAAACAGATTTCTGGGACAACATCATACCCAGTGAATTGGAATTTCTAAAGATAGGATCTTGAGAAGCTACATTTTTATTCCAGCTGATTCTTATCATCAAGCAAGTTTGGGCAATAGCCTGACAAGGAAGCTAATGAGTAAAGTGTAGGACTACCCTGAAGAGAGAAGTTAGGGACTTAATAAACCAGAGTGGCCTGATAATACATTACCTGTGTGGAGACCCAGGACCTGACCAGGTAAGAGTACTTGCCTTTAGCCTCGTTAGGGCACTTTCCAGCAGTGAGAGAGTCAGGCCACTGCTTCTGGGCAGAGCTGAGTGGTGCAGGGCACCAGAGCATGGACTCTTGAGCCAGACTCTGTCTGAGTTGGAATGCTGGCTCTTTGCTTACCTTGAAATGTTCTCGTCTTCATTTTTAATTTAATTTTTTTTTTTTTCAGAGACACGGTCTCTCTTTGTCGCCCAGGCTGGAGTGCAGTGGCCCAATCTTAGCTCACTGCAACCTCTGCCTCCCAGGTTCAAGTGATTCTCCTGCCTCAGCCTCCGGAGTAGCTGGAATTTCAGGCACCTGCCACCATATCTAGCTAATTTTTTTTTTTTTGGTAGAGATGGGGTTTCACCATGTTGGCCAGGCAGGTCTCAAACTCCTGATCTCAAGTGATGCAACCACCTCAGCCTCCCAAAGTGCTGGATTACAGGCGCAAGCCACCGTACCTGGCCTTGTTTTCAATTTCTTATCTCTGAATGGGGACAAAAATAATATCTACCTTTTGGGGTTTATGTGAGGATTTCATATATTATTTTTATGACTTAGGAAGTAAACTGGAATGTGAGAATAAGTGAGGAAGAGACAGAATGATTTACCAGTAATGCCCTCTCAAGCAGGAAAGGAATTTTTATGGACGACTACAAAGCAATTAAGCCCGTCCCACCTACCTAGATATTACGATAACCCTTGCTGCCCTTGGACTTCAGTTTTTTATGTTAAACACCCATAGCATTCAAACCCAGACTCCACATCAAAGATGTTTCCATTTCAAAACCAGGCAGATAAGGTGGCCTATTCAAAGAATTCAGGTCATAGTTTTCATGTTAATTATAAGAATACCATCTCATTCAGTAGCATTTCCCATCTGAATTCTTCTCATCATTTACTAGTTCGGTCATGCTAAGTCACCCAAGTACATAAGGGTGTACACCTTGGTGCCCGGTGACGGGGGAAGAGGGGGAGTGGG